CTTTTTAACTATGTATCTATGTATCTAATCTAACCTAATCTAACCTAACCTAATCTAATCTAATCTAATCTATCTATCTACCTCATTTGCCTTTCTAACTATGTATCTATCTATCTACCTATCTATCTATCTATCTACCTAGCTATCTATCTATCTGTCCATCTATCTAATCTAATCTAATCTAACCTAACCTAATCTAGTCTAATCTAATCTGATCTAATCTAATCTAATCTAATCTATCTATCTATCTAACTATGTATCTATCTATCTACCTATCTAGCTGACCTATCAATCAATCAACCAATCTATCTATCTATCTATCCATCTATCTATCTATCTATCCATCTATCTCTCTCTCTCTCTCTGTCTGTCTGTCTGTCTATCTATCTGCAAGTTTGAAAACGAAGCGATTCTGCGAGATTTCCTTCATTTTTGAACGTAACAACATCCAAAACGAAACAATTCTGCGAGACTTCTTCATTTTTTGCATTTGACAACATCCAAAACAAAGCAATTCTGCGAGACTTCTTCAGTTTTTGAACTTGACAACATCAAAAACAAAACAATTTTGCGAGACTTCCTTCAAAAATGGAAAGTTGAGTGCAGCGCTGACAGCCTCGTACCAATGTGTTTTGCGATTTTTCTACTCCACCTCTCTAAAGTACTGCGCTTGCCACGAAAAATGATGCCAGGTCATACGAAGTGCTGCACCTGTCACACAAAAACATCTTAGCAAACCTACAGATCTGATGCTCCAAAATGCAACCCCTCTCAGGAAATGAGCGTCTCTCATGAACATGTCTTTTGTACTGCGCCTGCCAGGGAAAATGCATCTTTGCAGATCCTCTTCAAAAGTCACATGCCTGCCATCGTTTTTGGAATTGCTACAAAACCCTCACGTTTTGCTCACTTTCGACAAGATCGACAATCCCTTGCACCTGCCACGCGGAACGACATCTCAACGTCCAAAAGTGGTCCGAACCCCTAGTGTTTTTAACATTTTGACTTCGAAATGTGCTTCGCGCCACAAGGGCGTGCACTTTTTCGACATCTCAACTTCCAAAAGTGGTCCGAAGCTGAGGTGTTTTGTACATTTTGACTTCGACATGTGCTACGCGCCACAATCGCGTGCACTTTTTCGACATCTCAACTTCCAAAAGTGGTCCGAGAATGGTGTGTTTTGTACATTTTGAATTCGAAATGTGCTTCGCGCCACAACGGCGTGCACTTTTTTGACATCGCAACTTCCAAAAGTGGTCCAAGCATGGTGTGCTTTGTACATTTTGACTTCGAAATGTGCTTCGCGCCACAACGGCGTGCACTTTTCCATCTCTCATCTGGCCAGCTGGCTCCGCACCCGCCGCTTTAGCGAGCCTACTTTTCGACCCTCCGGAGCCTCAAATCATTGGAAAAACACAGTGTTTCGCGACTTTCCTACCTTTTCGCGCATCTGCATCTTCTTTCTTCTGACTCTTTCTCTTCTCTGATCTTCTCTCTTCTAATCTTTCTCTTCTCTCTGCCTCTGCCCTGCTCTGCTTTTCATCTGTCCATATTGTCGGAAGTTTGACTGCTAAACTTCCTTCGGCTATGAAATAACAGGTAAGATCTGATAAGGTGTGCATATTTACTGTGAGATGTTCTGTTTCCAATTTCATTCCACTTGAACATCAACATTTTTTCCCGAGAGCGTCTGAGCGCAGAGTTCTTCCAATAGTGGGGGTCTGTATCTCATCTTCTCATCTTCACATCTTCTCATCTTCACATCCTCATCTTCACACCTTCTCATCTTCACACCTGCTCGCTTCACATCTTCTCATCTTCACATGTTTTCATCTTCACATCTTCTCACTTCACATCTTCTCATCTTCACATCTTCTCATCTTCACATCTTCTCATCTTCACATCTTCTCATCTTCACATCTTCTGACCTTCACATCTTCTCATCTTCACATCTTCTCATCCTCACATCTTCTCATCTTCACATCTTCTCATCTTCACATCTGCTCATCTTCACATCTTCTCATCCTCACATCTTCACATCTTCACATCCTCACATCTTCACATCTTGACATCTTCTCCTGTTGCCCTCTTGCCCTCTTGCGCTCTCCTTCTTTTCTATTTCTCTTCTGAAGGCCGGGGCAGGGGCAGTGCCAACGAGACGGCACGAAACGCAACCATTTCGCACGAAACGAGGTTCGATCGCCAAAAACTGAGGTAAAATTGCGATTTCAACTTGTCCGGCGCAACCCTTTCGCACGAAATGAGGTTCGATCGCCAAAAACTGAGGTAAAATTGCGATTTCAACTTGTCCGGCGCAACCCTTTTGCACGAAATGAGGTTCGATCGCCAAAAACTGAGGTAAAATTGAGATTTCAACTTGTCCCGTGCCACCCTTTCGCACGAAATGAGGTTCGATCGCCAAAAACTGAGGTAAAATTGCGATTTCAACTTGTCCCGTGCAACCCTTTTGCACGAAATGAGGTTCGATCGCCAAAAACTGAGGTAAAATTGCGATTTCTTCTATGTAAAAGTGTCTGTGTGTAAAAGTGTTTGTGTGTAAAAGCTTCTGTGTGTAAAAGCGTCTGTGTAAAAGTGTCTGTGTGTAAAACCGTCTGTGTGTAAAAGTGTCTGTGGTGTGAAGGTGTCTGTGTGTCAAAGTGTTTGTGTGTAAAAGTGTCTGCGTGTAAAAGCGTCTGCGTGTAAAAGCGTCTGTGTGTAAAAGCGTCTGTGTGTAAAAGCGTCTGTGTGTAAAAGCGTCTGTGTGTAAAAGTGTCTGTGTGTAAAAGCGTCTGTGTAAAAGCATCTGTGTGTAAAAGCTTCTGTGTAAAAGTGTCTGTTTGTAAAGCCGTCTGTGTGTAAAAGTGTCTGTGGTGTAAAAGTGTCTGTGTGTCGAAGCGTTTGTGTGTGTAAAAGTGTCTGCGTGTAAAAGCGTCTGCGTGTACAAGCGTCTGCGTGTAAAAGCGTCTGCGTGTACAAGCGTCTGCGTGTAAAAGCGTCTGTGTGTAAAAGTGTCTGTGTGTAAAACTATCTGTGTGTAAAAGCGTTTGTGTGTAAAAGCGCCTGTGTGTAAAAGCGTCTATGTGTAAAAGCGTATGTGTGTAAAAGCGTCTGCGTGTAAAATCTTCTGTGTGTAAAAGCTCCTGTGTGTAAAAGGGTCTCGGTGTAAAAGTGTCTGTGTGTAAAAGCTTCTGTGTGTAAAAGCGCCTGTGTGTAAAAGCGTCTGTGTGTAAAAGCGTGTGTGTGTAAAAGTGTTTGTGTGTAAAAACGTCTGCATGTAAAAGCGTCTGTGTGTAAAAGCGTCCGTGTGTACAAGCGTCTGTGTGTAAAAACGTCTGTGAGTGAAAGTGCCTGTGTGTAAAAACTTCTGCGTGTGAAAGCTTTTGTGTGTAAAAACTTCTGTGTGTAAAACCTTCTGTGTGTAAAAACTTTTGTGTGTAAAAACGTCTGTGTGTAAAAGCTTCTGTGTGTAAAAGTGTTTGCGATGCAAACTATTGTCTTGTACTTGTGCTATATTGTGTTGATACTCCTCTTCTCGACTGCCTATAGCCTATAACACATCTTTAATATATTGTTTTGTAATATGGTGTCTCCATACTAACAAGAGAAGACCCTGCTCCTCTACGCTCTCGGTCCATCCGTCGTCTAGTTATCGGCTTGGCCTTCGGATTGGTCTGTCTCTGGCCTCCGACAGCTTGGACATCTCGACGAAGTGGGCCAGCAACTTCGCAAAGCGAAGCGGTGGCGCAAAGACAGCCGCAGGCTGCGCATTTTTTTCTTTCGAGGAAACTGTTGAAAGAAGTGCTGAAAGAAAGGAGCATTTGGGTTTGTCCAGACGTGGGGTGTACCCCAGAACGGAAATTTTGATGGGAAAATGAGGATGAACTACAGGATTCTTGGGGTTGGACAAACCCATTTAGGACAACATGTTTGGGGAGAAAGAACTGGCTGCTTACTGGAGGTGCCATGCTCGTTGGAGGAGTGACAACTATGCTAGTTTTTAAAGATGCGCGGGGTTCTCAGGTTTTTAGCAGAGGGAAAAGAGGACTTGCATCAGCTTCAAGGTGTTGGATATCTTTGATGATGTTTTGCGGTCTCCTTTTGAAATATACTAAATCAATCTAAATCAATACTTCTCTTCTCGATTATGGCCTCTTGTCAGTGTCGCTGATTACTGAGTCCACGCATCCCTGTGACCTGCATTGGAACTGCCCTGGCTGGCTATGCAGTCCAGCTGCCGTATTCGTCTCAGCGTCACAGAGACTTGTGACCCTTGGAATGTGTGGAACGATTGGAACGAGGAGAGGAAACCGACTTGGAGATTCCACTCGGCAAATTGGGCGGCAGGCAGGACAAAGAGAACTACAGCAAACGCTATATGCTGATGTAAGACAAGACGACTGCTTGTTGCTGCACCTTTGGGTGCAGTAGAAACTCAACATGATTTCATGCGTTTAGAAGCTGGGCGGCTTCCAGGTCTCATGGGTGTGGGACGCAGTCATAGCTTCTGACAAAGGCCCGGCACGAGCATGCCTGAGCATGCCTTCTGAACGCTCAGCACTTCGGTCTGTCTGCAGGAAGACGATAAGATCTGCTTTTGTTTTCTTGGCCCTGCACCAAGAACTCACAAAAACGTTCGGTCTAGGAAGACAGCTGCTGTGCCCAGGTGTTTGTGTGCTCCAGCTGCCGTGTGATTCTTCAGCAATAGTCTCAGAAAGTTTTGGCGCTAAAGCTTCCCAGACGCTTTCTGGACCCTGCTAATCACACTTCTCCATACTTCTCCCACAAATCCCCTGGTTTGAGGCCAGAGACTTCTAGCCGGAGTTGATTTTGCAGTTCTGAGCTGTACAAAGATAGCCGGGAAAGTTAATGAGTGCATTTGTGGGTGCGAAAAAAATGCTGCAAACTGGCCTTAACCGCCAAAAGCACAGGTTTTCCCGCACAAGCAAAGCTTGGATTCTGTCGCCAAGATTTGCCAAGCACAGTCAGGGCCGGATGCGGAGGTACAACAAACCTCCTTGGACGGCTTGTGAGCCAGAGAACCGGTCTCAGAGTCTCAGATGGTGGGATTTGGACAGTGCTGAGATGTGCTGAGCTTCCAATTGGGAAACTTTGGGAAGCCTGAGATGTCCACGACTGAGGTCACGGGAGTTGCTGGGAATCTGTTTGAAGAAGATTCGAGGTGCCATGTCATGTCATTCGGCAGCTGCAGTAGCGCTGTTTTGCAAATTGCAAATCCACGTATCCACGTCGAAGTCAATCTTTTGATTTGGCTGGGTTTAAAGTATTGCGAGGGAGGTGGAATCTGAACTGACATATTTTGTGTTTGAGCCTTCATATACTGTCTAAACATTCGAAAAGCATGGTGCTGTCGGACGCTTTGGACTTTGGAGTGAGAATCCTGGTTGCGCATGGAAGTGCTATTTGATCTATTTGTGATGCCATTCTTTTTGTCAGTTTTGAACTTTTCCGCAAGGTGCAGAATCTTGGGATTAGAATAATATGTCATAGCATGTGTACTCGCTGCGAGGTCTTGGCAAGGATGTCAGGCAGGTCGATACCGGCCGTTGGCATGTCACAAATGTTGACGTGTTTGAGAGCTCACTTCGATGATTTCTAGTGAGTTTATCCTGCAAGGCTTGTGGATGCAGCATTTGTTTGGACTGAGGCCTGGGATAGCTGTGGAAATTGTCCCGAATTGTTCCGATTTTTTTCCCATTTTTTGAAGCAAATTCAAGTCTGAAGATTCTGAAGACGCTTGACGATGCTGTTCGTGATTTTCATTCAGCACCGAAAGCTGGCCTGGATGCAGGAGCATGCCATGCGAATCCGCGTGAAGATAACTGTTCAGAACGAGGCCCGTGAGCATTTCCAACTTTTGAGGATTCCTGGGATTCCTGGAATATCCTTCCATCGTTACGATATGTTACGATCGTTTCTGGGTGTGGCAATCTCATTATATCTCATTCACTTTCAGAAGATTCAGAAGTGCATTGACACTTTCATCGATTGATACAGGTCGCTCAGTCCTGCGTCTTGCAGCAGACCATGGTCGTTGAATTCCAAATCGTCAACCAGCAATGCGAGGATTGTCAGAAGTAAAGTTCTCAGTGCTTCCTTAAGTTCAATTAGTTCTTCAATTAGTTCTTGATTTCTTGATACATTTTTTGGTATTGTTGTTTTTGATTGATGTTTTGATATGTTTTGATGCTATGCCAGGCCATGTATGCATTTCTGAATCGCCAGCGGGTCAGGTCATTCACACCGCATGCCTACAATGCCATCGTGCAAGTGAGGCAAAAGGTGCCACACAGAAGGAGAGCAGTGGCTGCTAAACACCTGTTGGTTGAATGTAGGGGTTATACCATGGTTATATCATCCAAAGCCGTCCTAGCCAACCATGTCTTGTATGAAGTCGCAGATCGCTGAAGTTTTGCATTTGAGAGACAGTTGACAACTTTGATACTTTGAATTCCCCAAGTGGACATGTTTCTTGTTGAACAAGTTTTGGTGATTGGAAGTTGCGAAATGTCAAACAAGAACAAGATGGAAATAGAGTGCCTTTATCCTGACCGAACTTTCAGCCCGAACGATGTGAACAGCGAGCGAGCCATCAGGACTTTCTGCTACCTGGAGCAGCTGATTCTCAAATCCGACGCTCATGCCAAGGAGCTCACCTCAGGTATCGGTGATCGGTGACGGGCTCGTGACACATGGGATGGAACCGCCAAGGTCACCTCGTTGAAAGAGACCCGGGAAGGTCTGGACTTCTACTTTGAGACCAAGAGTCATGCACAGTCAGCTGCCTGGAGCTGCCTGGAGCTGCCTGGAGCTGCCTGGAGCTGGAGCTGTGGGTTGAGGCTGATGTGGAAACATCCTAAGATGATTTAATATGAAAAAAAGGGCTAGGTAATTCTTGTATGGGCAATCCGGGCTATCTCTACGTTTCATATTTGAGTGGGTTCCGGACTTACATGATGTAAGGCGCTTCGCGGATTTCGTGGAAGCGCATGTGTTTGCCTCGGCATTTATGCGCCGAGAAGTGAATTCGGCAACATACAAACCAGACATTGCCAAGGTGCCTACAAAGAGCAAGCAATCCAAGCATCTCATATCCCACGATGCCAACAGCAAGACCCATCCTTGGCCTTTCCTGAAAGCTTTTTGCGTTGATGATGTGGTCACAACACCAAAGTGATCCAAAGTGATTCAAATTGCCGACTGAACTGAGTTCCTACAACTTCAAGTACACTATCATGTGCGAACTGTGCCCCATTTGTGTAGATGATGTGGGAGGCCAAGGTCTAAAAGGATGATCTTGGCTGCTGACAGTTGAGTTCTGATCAACAGATTGGGTGGACTTGCGTGTTGTTTCTCAGCATTTCCAAGGTTGTGCATGTGCCCAAAGGGCACAGCGCCACACTGAATGGAGCCCCACCACTCTTGCTTTGCCACAAGGCCCGAAAATGATGTCGTTTTGATCTTTTCATTTTGTTGTTGTGGAAAATGACGTGGATCTTCATGTCATTTCTCATATTTCTCCAGGTGACAAATGCCATCAAGTTTGTGGACCCTATTTCGCTTCGCAGTCATCTCCTCATAGACATTCTCAGGATGCCTCGCGCGGCAGCTATACTTAGTACAGGAAAGAGTAGTAGGTGGCTCTGCGAGTCTTGGCTTTGGGCTGTACTTTGAGGTTATGACATTCCGACAGCAGATGCTCGGAAGCACTTGTGTTGCAATCGTAGGTGATAGATGGTGATAGTGGATACCTTCGATTTGCCCTTGCACAGCAAATCTGCAGTTTACGCACTTAGTTTGCTTTGCAACAAGTGAAGCTTGCGTTCTACTGAGTGTAATTCGTCGGCTAAGGAGTACTGGAAGAGACCAGTTGATTCGGCAACTGGACTTGTGAGTGGGACTTCTTTTGCACATAGCGGACGATGCATCGCGTGCATTTCAATGGCAGTCCCATGGGCCCATGGGTTTGTTGAGTTCCAAGGTTTGCCGAACCGAGCATCTGACGGAGTACGTCGTTTTGAATGTTGAACCCGTGCAGAAGTCAGAGGCTCCTTCTGCGCCACTCTGCATGTGATCCTCTATGGATTGCCTTTTCTGGCGGCATTTGGCATGGGCCCACTGTAAGGCTGCGGCAAGACAAAACACCCCAGTAAAAAAGTGGATGTCACTTGCTGATGTGGAGGCAAGGGAATTTTGATCGAATGTCTCTGCATGTCTTCTTCTTTGGCAATCGATATGATGTTCTGTGTGCCCCCTCACTGAATAATACTGAGTAGGTGGCCCGCGCCTGCGACCTGGGAGTCAACGACGATCGCCTCATAGTTCGAACTCATTTGGGTGGAATTTTGAGGCGCAGCATGGCACAGCATGGCTCTGCATTCCAGTGGATTTGTTTGAAATTCTGAAAGGTTTCCCTGAGCAAAGTCATTCATCGTATGGCGAAGTTGAGCTTTGCAGGCCAGGTCGGAGAGTCATGGGCTACGACCTGCGAACGGTCAATGTATGGCTCTCAACGACTCAAGATGACTGGGCTGGACCATTAATTCACTGAGTCTTGGTTCCCTGGAACTTGTTGACATACAGGAGCAGTGAGTGATTCTGATGCTACATTATCCGACTTGATCAAATCTTATCAACCCATCCCTTGGTCCAGGTCAGTGGGATTGACGACGAAGCCTTTCAGGACCCAACCAGTCAGACTTTTTGATACCAGCATGTCAAGTTCATGTCAAGCACAGCGTGACTGGACTGTCAGGGAAGATGCCCTGATGTTGTACTTGTGAAGAAGGCACAGACTAAAGGGGTAGAGACGGTAGAGACTGTTGTACAGGGCCTAGATATGTCCTGATGGTCATCCATGGCTTCAAGATGTAGTGTGTCAATTAGAGTTTCTGTGTGACAGGCATACAAGAGAAAAAACAAGAGAACGTTTGGCACTTAGACCAGACCTGTGTGGCCTGTGTGGTGGAAACATATGTTGGCGGATCGAGCCTGCACCAGACGCTTCAGCATCTTTTTCTGCATTCTCAGTTGTGTTTGTCCGAACCTAGCATGCCCAAATATGCCCAAAATCCTCTAGTTTATCATCACCTTTCGCATGAACACATGATTCAACATTGCCCTAAATTTGGGGCATCCCCCCCATTTTCTACAAGACTCGAGTGAAGGATATCCCGATATCCCGATGTTTTTCCTAGTGAAATTCGAACTTTTCTGGCTATAACTATAATATAACATATATAACATGGTTTTCACCAGTAGAAACCATTTTTTTCGGATTTTTGTGGGATGGTGAAATATCCAAAGATCTCCCCATATCCAACGGCCCAACGGCTTCAGGTGGGAGCTGAAGAGGCTCACCAAAGAGGCTGCTGAAGGTGAAGACCCCATCGATGATGATGCCGACATGGAGGCCGCAGCTGATGCACTACAAAATGTGAAGACTGCAACATTTTGAGGTTGTCAAAAAATGGGGAAACAATAGTAAACACCATCTTATGGCAGAATTTATGCATCTTTTCAGAGAAAAGTGATGATTAATGCTGAGATTTTGGGCTATTATTTTTATTGCAAACTGTTGTATATTTTATTGCAAATATCTCGTACTGTTGTACAATCCTTGATCATTATGGATACCTGAAGGTGTTGCAGCCGAAACTCGAAAGCCCTTCGAATGTTGCATGAAAGGCCCTGAAGCGGAATCTCGAAGAAGATCCAGAGCTTCGCAAGAGCGTCAACATGTACAGGCAGTGGTTTTCAAGCAGATATGAACACTTCTTTCCAGTGGGATCAGATGGAATTCAAATGTATATATATATATATATAAATATGTATATGTGAACCCAAAAGGTCCTCTCCACATATATATATATATATATTTGCTTGAACATGGGAGATCATTGTCCCCATTTACATTGAATATGATCCACAGAATCAATATGGATTCATTATATTCATGTCCAATGTCACCTGATGCCAGGGC